GATAGAGGAAGACAATAGGATCTGAAAGACCTACCATGTTTTTTCTAATTCTGTGAAGTATGTCATGGGGATTTGGATTGGGATTGCATTGAATCTACATATTGCTTTTGGTAGGATGGTCATTTTCACAACATTAATTCTTCCAATCCATGAGCATGGAAGGTTCTTCCATCTTCTAATGTCTCCCTCAATCTCTTTCTTTAAAGATTTAAAATTTTCATTGTAGAGCTCTTTCATGTCTTTGGTCAGGTTTATTCTGAGACATTTTATTTTTTTGCAGCTATTGTGAAGAGGAGTGTTTCCATGTGCTTGTTCTCTGATTGCTTGTTATTGGTATATCGAAAGGCTACAGACTTTTGTAGGTTAATTTTGTAACCTGCCACTTTACTGAGCGAAAAATGCTGGGTGTGATGTCAGGCTCTTGCAACGCCAGTGCTGCGAGGGAGGGAAGACATAGGTGGCTCCTGGAGGCTGGTGGGCCAGCCAGCCTCACTGTATCAGTGAACGCAGGCCAGTGAGAGACATTGTCTCAATAAAGCAAGCTGAATGGCTCCTGAGGAACAACACGCAAGGTTGACTGTGACCTCCACACTTATGTGCATACCCAGGTGCACACTCTTGCGCACACACAAGAAATTTAACAATGATAGGCTTCCACAACATACCATATAAATTAATATACTTTAAGTCATTTTAAAAATAAATGTCTCTGGTATCAGAAAATCCCCATTTTCTATTCTTGTGTACACCATCTTGTGTCAAGATGGTGTTAATTGGAACCTACCTTAGACTTCAGCATTGTATGATTAAATTTTCATGCAAATAAGCAGAATAAGCCATGGGTATCTGAAGGAGACACTCACCTTGAGGGATGAGGGGTAGAGAAATGTTCATCTTCTCAAAGATGCTCAGAGACAATTGGTCCCTCAGCCTGAGCCCCTGACCTGCTCTAGACAACTTGCTCCATTCATCCTTGCCTTGTGTAAGCCACATTGATCTCAAGATACTTAAGTTGTAATCCCGACTCTGTACCTACCTGCTAATATTAATCACCACCTAGGTAAAGCAGTGTGCTCTTTTATCCTTTGTTGACACCTCACATTTAGAAGTGTGAGATGAATTGATTGCAAAGGTCTTCTGGGAGTTTCTGCACTCATGGATGGCACTGTATGTGTTCTCAGCCAGTATCTCTAGTCCTAAGGTCTCCCCTTCAACATGATGGTGCCTCAGCCTTTGTCTCCCTGCACCCAGGCCTTGTGCGATGGTTGTTCCAGACTTTGAGCTCATCTGTGAGATCATGCTGGTAGCAGAAGGATTCATTGAAGCCCGACTGTTAGCCAGGAAGTTCATCACCCTTTACCAGTTGTGTAAAGAGCTCCTCTCCAAACAGGTAGGACCACTGGGGAGGCTGATGACCTAGCACCATGTTGTGGCCTAGTTCTACAAGGGTTCTAGAGCCAATGTATTAGAGTTTTCTTATAGTCCTCGGGCTGAAAAGCATATTCAAAGCTCTGAGTATTTTTTGCAATAAAAGTTTGTGTTCAGTTTTCATGTGAGTACCCTTTCAATGTCTTTGGCCACCAATATATTTTTTAAACATTGTTCTTATAAATTCAGTATCCCATGAGAAACTACAGCAGCCAGTGAAAATCCCTAGAGGGAATGGTCTCTACCTGAAAAAGGCATGAGACAGAAAAGAGGAACAGAGTTGGGCATAACAGTTCCAGGCTTCTCATTGCTGCTTGGCCTCAAGTATGACTTGCTGAAGGCGGCCCCCCAACCCTACCTCAGGAAATAGCACCTTAACAAATCATGACCTGTAAGGTCAACAGCCTGTATAGAGAGTTTCTTGGTGGCAAGGACAGCTGACAAAGCTTCCCTGGGCTATTGCTAGTGAGTCTCCCCATCCCTTTACGGGGGTCATCTTGCTTTGATCACCTTTACTGCCCTGGACTCTCAGCCCCATGAGATCTATCCAGGAATCTTGTGTTCTTCATGTTTTCTTTTTCACTGAATCCTCTCTTCGCATTCTCTACCACCACCAACTTCCCAGGCCTGTGACTTCTGTGCTAACAACTCTGCCACAAACCTCTTTTGTGTTCTAAGACATATATTGTCAGTGGTCTACCTCACCATCCTCCCACTGTTTAAAGAACACCTCCACTTAGCACACTCAAAGCTGCTCTAGCCTGTCAGCTCCCACCAAGCCTGCTTTTCCTGCCATACAGAGCCATCATTCACTTGCTAATGCTGGGACCCTAGCAGGGATTCATCCTTGACCCTCTCTCCTTTCTCTCCTACAGATGTTTAATCATAAACAAAGTGATGTTGATTCTACTCTGGATATTCCTCAAAGAATCTGTTTTCTTTCCATACTTGCCTGTTATGGCTTTAGTTTCAGGCACCCACGTTTCTTGATTAAACTCTTGTACCTGCCTCTAGGCTAGTTTCTCTACTGGCAACCCAGTTCCTTTAATCCATTCTTAAAATACCAGCTAAAGTAATTATTTTTAAATGTTCCTCACTGCTCTTCACATGAAGACAAACTCCTGATCCCTCTGCTGACAGCTACAAGGTCCTGTAACCTGGCTACCTCAACAGCTTACACGCATGACTGTCTGAATCTTCTTTCAGTTCCTTGAAATAGATTACCTTTTTACCCTGAACCTGTGAACGGCCTCTTGCCTGGGCCTTAACTGCACCTTTTCTTCATGTGGGTCTAACTGGTCTCAATTCCTTCTAGCCTTCTACAATATCTTTCATTCAGGAGATGCTAATCCACAGACTGCAGGTATAGCCACTGTGTCCTCCATCTTCACTGCACATGAGACTTTTCTTTCATAGCATTTACCACAGCTCTAATTATATAATGACCTGGTATGAAGGAAGTGGCAGAGCTGGGACTTGAACCTGGATCTGTACGAGTTCAGACTCTGCTCTCTGAATCACACTTCACCTCTCTCTCTTCACTGTGCTGTGGAGATCTGGTGTCAGTTTTTTGATGCATTTGCCCCAGAATCTACTATCAGCACTGGTGCCTACAAAGAACTCGTAATCATTTTTAGTGCTGGAGACCAAACCTAAGAGCTTGCACACACTAGGCAAGTACTCCTCTGTTAAGCTATGCCCCAGCCGCGGGGACTACAGCTTATAAATTACTCTCAGTATGTTTGGAGGCCTCCAAGGTAGAGCACATAAGCTTGGTCCACACCATCTCTAAGAGCTAACACACACTGTCTTTGAAAATTCTTCCACCTTCTGAATGTCTAAGGAATAGCCACACGGGTTTGAAAATGGTTCTTCTCAATCCTCCAGAGTTCAGTCCCTTGCGTGTTCTGTGTCTGTCTTATCATCACAAGACAGAAAAAAAGGAAATGCCAGATTAGAAACCTAGAGTTCAGAGACCAAGATTTTGTAGTGTTTGAATTCTTGCCACCCTTACCTGGGCTTCAGAGGTGTGACCTATGGTGTGCTTCGGCCGCAATTTTGTGGACCGAGCAAGTGCTGCTCTGCATCCCAGCAACTTAGGTCTCAGCTGTGCTGTCTTCCTGCAGGATCACTATGACTGGGGCCTGCGGGCCATTAAGTCTGTCCTCGTGGTGGCAGGATCCTTGAAGCGAGGAGACCCCGACCGGCCAGAGGACCAAGTCCTGATGCGCTCTTTGAGAGACTTCAACATTCCCAAGATTGTGACTGATGACATGCCAGTGTTCATGGGCCTGATTGGGGACCTCTTTCCTGCTTTGGATGTCCCTCGGAGGAGAGACCTGAACTTTGAAGCCTTGGTTCGGAAGGCAGTCCTGGACCTGAAGCTCCAGGCTGAGGACAACTTTGTGCTCAAGGTACGTGAGGCTTTCCTCCTGAAGGCTCCTCTAACACTAGCTTCTTTTCTTGGATGATGAGTTCTACTTTGTCATTCATCCAAATGAGTTTTCTAACTGCACAGATAGATATATATCCAGTTAGAAGTAACTCAGTTCATTCCACAGTTCTTTCTTGAGGAGCCACAATATGAAAGGATGGTAGGGGATAGGGGAAAGAAGGTGGAGCCCGTGCCATGAGCATCACTAAAGATCTTAAGGGGGGAAAGTTGAAACTTCCCTGAGATACACCTTGCCTAGTATCTTTCAGAACCACTTTTAGGTGTTTTATACTCTGCTGTGGAAGCTATAAGGGCACATAGAGAAACTGGGAAGCCATCTCCCTCACATTTAGACAGTGGATTAGTGAGGAAGGCTGTATCTGGGTTGGATCTTTAATTGTGATTAAAATAGGCTCCAACAGAATAAAATGTACTCAAGACCTATCTCTTTTTACATACGTGCATTTATTTATTTATTTATTTATTGAGACAGGGTCTTCCTGAAGCCCCAGCTGGCCTGGAACTGGCTATGTAGACCAGGCTGGGCTCTATATCACAGAGATCCACCTGCCTCTGCCTCCTGTGTGCTAGGATTAAAGACGTGTGCCACCACACTCCATAAGACCTACCTCTTGAATGAGAAAGTCTAGGGCCCAGTCTGCAATGGACAGACTGAAAACAAGGCGAAGTTAGAATGCTTGGGAATTAACTGTGCTGCCATTCCATGATGGATGGGACTCATTGCTGAGTTTTTAGGACTTTAAGCACAGTTTTCTCCATTTCTCATGGTTTACCTCAATCCTGGTTTTCCATGAGTCTGTTATTGTCACTGAAGTTTTTCAGAAGGTGATATGTTCAGAATGCATGTATAGTTATGGTAGAAACACCTGCGTGAGACTCTTTAGCTTGTAGTAGAAGACAGTTGCCCCAAAAGAACAATGAAGGTTCTGAAGTACAGAGATTGATGATTCTTCCTATTAAATAGGTGCAAGAAACACATGAGCATTGCTTTAGAGTTCACACATGGTTTTATAGTCTGTCTCACACTTGATCTCCCAACACGGAGACAGATGATACAGGCAAGGTACTTCACAGGTGGGAAACAAGCCCACTACCTGCCTCTCCAAGACAGTGCAGTAAGGCCTTTCATGAGGGAGAAAGTGCATCCCCTGGAGGCACATGTGGCAAAGATGAAGGTTCCTTCATACCACAAGAGACCATTCCAACATATAGTATGCTCATTGGTAGAGATTAAGCCTTGACTACGTATAAATAAAATTAAGAGTGAATTGAAATATACTTCTCATTGCGATCAGGTGTCTGCTTTTATTGCTGGAATTCCCTTTCTTCACTTGCAGAAGAGAGCAGAGCACAACCTGGTCCTTTGCAGCAGATTTACCCATCCGCACTCCCTATCTCCTTCCTTCCAAGTACAATAAATGGACAGACTCTTGCAGAGAAGCAGGATAGATTTCTATGCAGAATAAAAAGGATCAACAGTGAGGCCTCTGTAGGAAACATAGAAATGGTACACAAGCCATGGGAAGCCACTGTTGTCCAAGGAAAAGTATTGCATGAATGCTAGAAAGACAGCATTGGGCCATGATATAGAGGGCCCTGAATGCCAGGTTTGGGGCTTTTCCATTAAAAAGGCTAATCTCAAGATGTACTCTCTCCTGAGAGATGAGTTAAATCCAATGAAGTTCATGAGATGCTTGTACCTGAAGATGCTGTCATAGAATCAGATAGGCCATGTCTTTCTAGATTTTCTGGGATCTAGTCAGGGCATCCAGCCTTTCTCCCTACCCCCCCAACCCTTGTGTTCTTTATCTTTTTTCTATTAGAATCTTTCTTTTTTCAAACATCTTTTATTTATTTTTATGTGTATGAGTGTTTTGTCTGCCTGTGTATATGCAGGCAATGCCTGAGGAGATCAGAAGAGGGCATCGGATCCCCTAGAAGTGGAGTTACAACTGGTTGTTAGCTGTCATGGGGCTGGGAATCAAATCCAGATCCTCTGCAATAGCAGCCAGTGCTCTTAACCACAGAGCCATCTCTCCAGCCCCGTATCTTCCTTTTTAATTGTCAGTTGGGTAGTGTTCTATTTCCTTCTTTTCTCCTCTCCTTCTCCATAGCTCTTTCCTCTTCTTGTAAGCTGGAGGCTCTCTGCTAAAGGTTCGTAGAGCAAAAGACAACATCCTTATCCATTTTCACTTGACTCTCTGAGACATAATTTCCCTAAAACTGTCTCATGGTGCTCTTGTGGCATCCTGAGATCCCTTAAAGAAAAAAAAATTACACACATTTTTATATATAATCTGACAAGGAGTGAACTTATAGAACTATGGAAAGTGAGAAATGATCATTACAGTAAATTTCTAAAAGTATAGTGAAAGTGTCAGATCCAACAGAGTGGAGGGGATTGTGGGATAGGATACCCTAGAAAGAAGTTCAGAGGAAGAGGAGTTGGAGGGCAGCCATTCTGTGGAGCAGAACCCTGGAAAAGCTGTGGCCTTAGAGTCAAGAGTGCAGGAGGGACCAATGAGAAGAGAACTGAGACGAGCCAGAGGGGCACCAGTAAATCTGTTTACCCCATACTTTTGCTGCTTGGCTGTCCACACTCTTCTTCTCTTCTCCCATGACCTCCTTCTAGATTCCACCTCCCACGGTATGTAGACCAGGTACAGCCAAGAATTGAACTCAAGCCCAAAAGAAAGAAAAATTTGTAAGAAAATGTAAGAACTCCCTAAGACAAAACTAAGATGGATGTCAGGGTGCTGGTGCCCAAACAAAAGCCTTTCCATTCTTTTCGGGGATCTTCAGTAGAAGACCTGCTTACATACCCACAAGTTAAAGGATAAAGTCAAAGACCAAGGTCTGACCAAATCTAACTATCTACTAAGTCCTCCCTGCCCCAAAAGAGATCCACATAGACCAGCCAAAGAGGATAATCAGCCTGGAGAAAATAAGTGACATGAGAGAGGGGCACAAACACACACACACACACACACACACACACACACACACACACACACCAACACACACAACACTGATCCCTGGGAAAGTAAGAAAGAGAACATTTGAAACACCTTAATTAGTATCCTTGAAAATAATAAAACAATATCCATAAAATACCATTCTTTACTAAAAAGACCTATTGAAGAATTGTAAAGGGCTCTCTGAAATATAGAATTGAATCATTGATGGGACATAAAATTCAGGAAGAAGATTAGAAGGCAAGCCAAGGAAATTCTACCATGGGATTCCACATAGTCACCTGCAGGTCTGTGTACGATAACATAGGCACACAGAAAGAAAGACTGAAAATGTGAGAGACAGGGTGATACACACAGCCTCAATCTCAGTTAGGGCTTCAAACTCTCTCTACTCACAACCCTGCTTCACCTGAACAGTTTTTTGTTATTTCTACAATTCAGTAATATGATTCCATATTGGGTTAGAACCCACTGTTTAAGAAGCTGTGATCTAGGTGATCTAACATATTATCAAAAATTCTAAAAGGAAATTGAGAAAATCTTCTAGAACTGGAAAGTCATGCCTCCAGACTGGAAAGATGTAGTGCTGGGCAGAGTGAATGTAAGCGGGTTTATTCAGAGACACATCCTCATGGAATTTCAAGAGTCAAGAGCAAAGAATGAGTGATTTATAGCTGAGTGATTGAGGAGGTAGTATAAGTATCCCAGGACAGGAATGGGATTCAGGCTGACCTCATAATCTCTCAACAACATGGGATTCTAGAGGGCAAGTTTAAAGGAACTTCAAAGTTCAAGGGCACAGCCCCTGCATTGACTTGGTTCTGGTGAGAGCCTTTCTGGCCATGTCACAATATGGTGGTTGCAATGGCAGAGGTGTCCTCTGAAGCATGAACTCACATCTCAATCCAGGAGCCAGAGAGAGCTAGGCCACACATGAGATTTTTTTTAAAATAAGTCTTCTCATGAGAATTAACCAGAGTCTCACAAGAAGTACCTGAATCTCTTCTGATAGCATGATCCTAATTGACCTACACACCACCCACTATGCCCCACCTCTTAAAGTGCTGGCTGCCTTCAGTGAGTTGAAATCCAATAATGAGACAGGAAATAGCCATTGCGATGGTCAAGCACTAGGATGCACTGTCCACCTCATAACTTGCCAACAGGACTTTCTTCCCAATTAGACTACAGTATTTTATCTTAATGTCACCTATCTGGTGCCCTCTCTGGTGGTTAGTTGGTGATTAATAATTGCATGAATGAGTTAGGAATATGTGAAGAGGTGAATTGTGGTGCGCCTGTGTTTCATATCTTGTTGTGTTTTATGGTAAGTATTCTCCCATTGTTGACTTCAAACCTCACTTCACACACCAGTCTTGCTCGCAGAAGAACAGGTGGCCTGTAGGTGAGTGACAAGCTGACCCTCCAGCTGACTTCCCTGTCTCCCAGGTGGTCCAGCTGGAGGAGCTGTTGGCTGTCCGGCACTCCGTGTTTGTGATGGGCAATGCTGGCGTTGGCAAGTCACAGGTGCTGAGGTCCTTACATAAGACTTACCAGATCATGAAACGCCGGCCTGTGTGGATCGACCTGAACCCCAAAGCTGTCACAAATGATGAACTCTTTGGCATCATCAATCCGGCCACTCGAGAATGGAAGGATGGTAAGAGTGAGGTTCCCTAAACCAAAATTCCTTGTATCCCGAGTTTCCCTCCTAGGCTCAGAGGTCATGGGGTGAACTGCAGCAGACAAAGTTTTGAGTTAAATGTTTTTTGGGGGACGGGGGAGACTACAGAAGGAGATAAAAGATCAGCAGAAAAGAAACCAGTTTGGGCTAGGAAGGGAACCTCAGCTTTTTAGATGTCCCTCCCCTGAGGACTCTTCCAACCAGGTCCTTAAAGTGGGTACAGTGCATGGCACAGAGTGGCTGCATTGCCTGGCATGGATTCCAGGGGTGTGCAAGGAAGGGGAGCTAATGGATGGGTCTCAAAGAAATGGTGGCTGCCAGCATCCCACAGAGGCACCTCTTCCCCTGTAGATTCTACCCCGGTAGAGATGGAGAGGATGCCGTGTATGGAACACTGAATCTAAACATAGTCCCTGGTGATGCTGGGGATACCCATCCAAGAAGGGTTTGTTGGACCATGTTCTCTCCCATAGTGGCATAGAAGACTCCATACCCATGTTCATCCTGTGCTCTAGATAAGGAAGGATCCATCTGTCTTAATGTTTCAGTGTCTGACTCCATCAGAGTCAAACTGTTTGGTGTTCTTCAATGCAGGAGCCCAGAACAAGGGAAGGTAATGGGCTGTGTCTCTAATTTTCATTTCACTAAATGTCAGGAAAGCTTAGAATCTTTACTTCTTATTGATATTAGTGATTTGCTTTTTGTGTTTTATTTCCCCTTGTTATTTTGTATCAGTGTATAAGAGGTTTTATATATACATATATATTGCATATATATATATACATATATATGCAATAACCCTTTATCTGGTGCTAGTGTTTTCCCTACCTCCCAAGATGTCTACAGACATCTTGTGGCATAATTCACCATGAACTTTTTAAAGGAAATTATGTCTGTCTAGCTCTTTTAGCAGCCGTGATTCCTATTCATTTATAACTCCAATATTCAGCTACAGATATAGTATCATAAATTTGGTTGATAAGGATTCTTTTATACTCACATTTTTTAATCCATCTGGAATTTATTTGGGGCTTAGTATGAGGTAGTGTAGGAAATCAACTTTATTTCCTTCCAGATGGATAATTGATTGTGCCAGTACCACTTATTAAATAAGCCACTTTCTCTCTGAATCTACATACCAGCCTGTCGATCATTGAATTCCACACATGCTGAGCTCTGAGTCTAGGGTTTTCATTCTGTTCCACTCTCTTATTTTTCCAATCCTATACTCATATCATTCTATTTCAGTTACAACCATTTTAAAGTATGTTTTCCTATCTGATGAGACCCCTTGCTCCTCAAAATTCTTTTATAGTTCCCTTGGACACCCTCAGACATTTAATTTTCCATGTTAAATTAAAGCCTGGTATTATAATTTAATATTTTAAACTGTCATAGTTCTAATTAAAATTATATTAAATTTATATGTGAAATTTGGGGAGACTAGTAAAGACAATATAGTCATCCATAATTTATTCTTACCTGACAACACAATTATGAAGCAAATGAAATATAGCTTTTTAGAAATTTTTAGAACTTGATAAAGTCTATTTTACTACATCTTTTTCAAAATTAGATGGTTCCAAGTAGGCAGAAAAATAAGTATGTAGACAGAAGAATTTACAAATATGTCATTGAATTCAATATAATACATCATTATAAAACTTTGAATTCTATAAATAGAATTCATTTCCTGGTTGTTTCATGGAATAGTTACAAAAATTAAAAATTCAATTGGCTTCAGAGAAGGGTATATTGAACTTAAAAGTCTCATTTCATAGACTGCATTCTCTGATAATACAATAGCATTAGAATCAACAGGCAAGAAAATAACCCCAAACAGTTTCCTGGTTGAAAAATCAAGAAATGCTCTCTATACCTCATCAAAAAAAAAAAAAAAGAAATTAAATCAGAATCCATTTAAGAACCAGTGAAAAACATATTTCATGCAGAATCTATAGGGAAGATTTAAAGCCTATAAAAATTAAACTTGTTACAAAAACTAAACTGGAAATAAAGGAAATTATTACCCATGTTAAGCAATTTCTCAAACTAAACCTCAAGAAAATGGGGAAAAGAAACTAATGAAGGTAAAACCTGGAATTAGTCAGAAAACAAAAAAAGATCATAGAAAAAGCTGACTGTAAGTACTGGTTCTTGGAAAAGATCAATAAAATAAGTTCATTTTGAGCATTCTTAATGGGGGAACAGTATATACAGTATTTCTGCATGTATGTAGACATAGAAAGGACAAGACTGGAGACAGAACTCAGTCACTAAAGTGCTCACCTTGAAACCAGGAGGAACTGAGTTCAGTTCTCAGAACCCACATAAAAAAAGCCAGATGGGGTGGCACATGCTTGTAATCCTATCACTGGGGAGGTGGAGAGATCCCTGGGCCTCACTAGTTAGCCAGCCTAGCCTAATTAATGAGCTCCAGGCTAGTGAGGGACCTTCTCCCAAAATGAAATGAACAAACAAACAAGCTTTGTAATACCTGAGAACAACACCTTCAGTCTCCATGTGCATCTGTACACGTACGAATGTACACATGAACAAATGCCCATAAATACAAAAAAATTCAATAAAAAATAGAAAAGGGTACTAGAACAGTAGAAACAGGCAGGATTTAAAATGAATATTTAATTAGATGGCACAGTACTTGAAAAACTAGAATAGGTGACCCTTAGCAAAATATAAATTAACAGTATTTACTCAATGAGAAGTAGAAGACTTGAGTAAACAAATGAAAGGGAAAATTTAAAGCTGGTAGAAGAACAAAAAACAAGTTCAATTTATAAAAAGGGATAGCTCTGAAATCATCCTATGGACCCAAAATAATCTTTTTTAAAATAATACTTGTATTGATTCTTTGAGAATTTCATACAATGTGTTTTGTCATATTCAGACCCCATCCCCATCTCCACCCCACTGCCCTTCCCCTCTCACTCCACGTTCACTATTATTATTTTTTAAAGACCTATATCAAGTCTAATTTGTGACCCAAATGTTCCTGGGTGTGGGTCCATCCTTTGGAGCCTGGCCAGTCTACCCAGGGTCACACCCTTAAAGAAAACTGACTCTGCCACTCCCAGGAGCTATCAGTTGCCAATAGTTCCTCAGCCAGAACTGGGGCTTCTTCATACCAGCTTTTGTATAAAACCAAAAGAAGATTATGATTTTACTTACTACCATAGATGCAAAAATTCTAAATAAAATATCAGTAAATAGACTCCTAACACTATCTCAAAAGAATAATATAGTTTGGCCATGTACAACCTATTCTAAAGAGAATACAGACAAATCAATTATTTTTATAGAATAGTAACAAAACATTAACAAATTAAAAGAGGAAATAATTTGATCAATAAATACATACTAAAAGTTCAATAAACATTTCTAGCAGAAAGTTCTAAATAAAATAGGATCAGATGGAAATCCCTCAAATACAATGAATGCTCTGTACCTAAAGCCCAAAAGAAAATGAAACCTCTCTAAAAAATTATGCATAATCTATTTCCATTAAGGGAAACAAGGGGGCTGGAGAGATGGCTCAGTGGTTAAGAACACTGGCTTCTCTCGCAGAGGACCCAGGTTCAGTTCCCAGCACTCACATGGCAGCTAACAACCATCTGTAACTCCAGTTCCAGGGAATCCGGCACCCACTTCTGACCTCATGGACACTGCATGACATAGGTGCTTTTACATGTATATAAGCATAACGCTCTTATGCATAAAATAAAAATAAATAAATCTAATAATAATAAAATATTTTTTAAAGAGTAATAGTGTGGGTGATGAAATGGAAAAGAAGTCATCCCTGATTCCTTTCAGGATTATTCTCTTCCATCATGCGTGAGCTTGCCAACATCACTCATGATGGGCCCAAGTGGATTTTATTGGATGGCGACATAGACCCGATGTGGATTGAATCTCTGAACACTGTCATGGATGATAACAAGGTATGAAGGGGGAGGGTCCCCACACCATTCCCATTCATATGTGAAGGTCGATTTCCAGTTGACAGCACATCTGAAAATCTCGATTCCACAGGACCACCAGCCCACAGTAAGCAACCCTCACTCATGTCTTCAGAGAGATACCTCAGAACTTGCCTACTTCCACTTGGGCCTACTTCAGAGTCCCTGCCACTGCCCCCGCCCCCGTTTTTGGTATGCTTCTCATTTCTTGCAGAATCTCCTGCCCCTAGATTCATTTACTATTTAGAACTGAGAATCTTAGTCATTCATTCAAATTTTTTATGATTCATTTCCTTTTAATAAATAAGGAAATTAAGTATCAGAAACATCCTGAGTTTCTTAAACACCTTCCAGGATGATAAGTATCTATTCATGGAGAGTGAATGTCATGTCTTATAAACAATGACAGCAAACTGCATGCCAGTGAAATGGCTGTTAAGCTGGTAGCTTCTTCCAAACTTGTTTAGAAAGCATGTCCAGATTGGAAGTGTTAAAATGGCTTCAGCATTCACAGAATCATTAGAATAGTTGCACGCTCTCCCAGCGGGCTACTTAGGAGGAGGAGCAGTAATATGAAAGCAAAGCTCTTTTTAATAGTTTTATTGTTCCAATATGGTATCGTTCATTCACACTACTGTCATCAATTTGAAGTGTTTAAATAACTTTTTTCCTGATTCACTGAGGAAGCAAGGCTAGGAGGAGAAGGGTTATAGGGGGAAAAGAGAAAGGATCATTGTAAAAAATACTGCACACTGCACGGGGGGTGATGCACACACTTGTAATCCTAGCACTCAGGAGGGAGAGCTGGGAGAATCTTGCATTCAAGGCCAGCTTAGGCTACATAGTATGAGGCCAGCCTGGGCCATATAGTAAGGCCTGTCTCAAGAAAGACAGAAACAGAGACAGACAGAGACAGAGATGAATGAATCAATCCTGGCTGTGCTTTGTGCTACTGTACCAGAATACTGGAGACTGGGTAATTTATAAAGAAAAGATATTTAATTGTCTTATAGTTCTGGAGGCTGAAAGTTCAAGATCAAAGGGCCATATTTAGTGGAATCTTTCTAGCTGTGTAATCCTATAATAGAAGGGAGAAAAGCAAGATAAAGTCTCTTCAGTGATCAGCATTAATCCATTTATGAAGTGGAGGCTTCAGGGCCTCATCACCTCTAAAAGGCCTCACTTAGGTTTTCTTGGGGGAAACACATTCAACTGTAGCATATCCATAACCCTGGCCAACAAGAATCCACCAAATCCCTACTAGCTGTGAATGCAACTGTAGTAGCTACTTTTCTAACACTGTGACAAAGTGCCTGACAGAAGAAACTTAAGGGAGTAAGGATTTACTTTGTTTGAGGTTTTACCATGGTGGGAAGGCATGGCAACAAGATCAAGCCCATGGAGGTCAGGTCTTCACACCTCAGCAGAAAGAATATAGAGAACAGGACTGGAAGTGGGACCTTAAAATAAACCACCAAGACCCACCATCATAGGCCGGCTCCCACCAGCAAGAACCCAGTTTCTACAACTTCCCCAAAGAGCAACACCAGCTGGTGAAGAAGTGTTCAAACACATGGGCCTGTGGGGCCATTTCACATTCAAACCATGACAACATTGCAGCTCCTTCCCAAGTGGATGACCCTCCTGCTGTTTCCAGGTGTTAACCCTAGCAAGCAATGAGAGGATTCCTCTTAACCCCACGATGCGTCTTCTCTTCGAGATCAGCCACCTGCGCACGGCCACTCCAGCAACTGTCTCCAGGGCAGGTATGACCCTTCAAGTGGCTCAGGTGAGGCAGGTATATTTGGCCTAGTTCTCAGCCCTAAGCCATACCCACAAGGGCAAACAGGCACCACAGGCCTCAGCCAGGTGACTTTGTTATTTCAGAAATACTGCCCCAAAGAGAAGGGAAATAGTCCCTGAGCTGGGCAACTGTACACTGCATGGGAGTGTCTTGAGCTAGGCTGCATTTGGTTCTAGCCACCATATCAGTGGAGGCGACCATGCATAACCATTTCTCATTAACTCCTGGTAGCAATTAGCGCTGTGATCTTAACTTTTGTCTCTCCACCCACAGAAACTGCATGGTAAAAAGAAACTGATGAAATAATCATACTGGATGTAGGATAAATGGTGATGGCTGCAATATAGAGCAGGAAGGAGTGAGGAGGATAATCAATGGGTGCGAAGCTGTTGATATTCAGGATGTGTATATTCTAGACTCCTGTAAAATCTGGTATAAAGTTGAATGGTTGACAGCACTGTATTGTACACTTTAAAAATGTAAGAAAGATGGTAATGTTCTTACTGAAAAACAGATCAGAGCATGAAAAAGCTTAGACATGGGACTGGAGAGATTGCACAGTGGTTAAGAGCACTGGCTACTCTTGCAGAGGACTGAGTTCAGTTCTGAGCTCCCATACAGAGGCTAACAATTCTCCTTAACTCCAGTTCCAGAGGATCTGATGCCCTCTTCTTGCCTCCGTGGGCTTTGCCTGCACATGGTGCACTTCCATACATACAAAATACTCATCACATAAAATTTAAATAAAGGGGGGCTGGAGAGATGGCTCAGAGGTTAAGAGCACTGGCTGCTCTTGCAGAAGACCCGGGTTCAAGTCCCAGCACCCACTTGGCGGCTACAAACTGTCCTATTTTTAAAAATACTGTTAAAAGCTCAGCGGTTAAGAGCACTGACTGCTCTTGCAGAGGACCCAGGTCCTATTCCCAGCACCCACTTGGCGGCTACAAACCATCCTTAACTCCAGTTCCAGGGGAATCCGAAGCCCCCTTCTGACCTCCTCGGCGTAGCATGACACAGGTGCACTCACATACATGCAGGATACACATACACATAAAATAAAAATAATAAATAAAATATTTTTTAAATTTTTAAATTAATGAATGATTTTTTAAAGAAAAAGGTTTAGATATTTTAAAATATATTTTATTGCATTTTTGTGGATTTCCTGCAATATGTGTTAATCATATTTGACCCCCTTTCCTTATATGCACCCCCCCACAGCCCACCCACAGGACCTCATGCATTTTGTCACATATGTTAAAGCTTATCTAGTCAAATTTGCATACCCAGATGTCCCTCAGTGTAAGTTCATCCACTGGAGCCTGTTCATTCTATCTAGCCTCACTCCCTTAAAGGTTGATTCTCCCTCACCCAGCAGTGATCAGCTGCCAGTAGTTCCTCCCCAAAATTGTGGCCCTCCTACCCATTTCCCCAGTTTTATGCTGGTTTTTGTCTGATTGAGTTTTCATGTGCCTTGTGCCTGCTGTCACCATTGCTGTACGTTCATTTAAGTAAGGTCCCAGGAGCCTGTTTCTTTATGTCATGTACCTCCTCCCTTGGCTCTTAAAATCTTTCCTCTGCCTCTTCAGCAATGGTCCCTGAGCCCTGGGTGGGTGAAGTTTAATATAGGAGTCCTTTCTAGGGACTCACACTCTGCAGTCTCTTTGGCCAGTTGTGCCATTTTGTGTTCGTTGCCCCCTGTTGCATAAGGAAGCTTCGTTAATGAGAGTTAAGAGATGCATTAGCATTCTCTCTACCCCCATTCCACTATGTTCCATGAGCCTTAGGTCTAGAGGTTCCATTTTAGATGTGTCACTTAAGAGTTGAGCATCTCATAGACACTTATTCTCTGTGTGTGACCAGTTGTGGAACTCTATAATAGTCTCCATCTCTTGCAAAAGAAGCTTCTTCGATGAGTTGTATATGGTATTCTTGTCTGTAAATATGAGGATCCATATTTAGCATATAGTAAGAAACTACGTTTGTCTAGGGATGTGACAGACTCAGGGTTACACATTTTTGATGTGATCAGTGTTTATTGCCTTGATACAGTAGCTCACTAGTAGATTCACATATCCAAATCCAACAGGCAATGTGCATTAAATATATAGTGTTTTATATATCAATTACACCTCACTAAAGCAGTCAAAATTTTTCATAAAATAAGAAATAAATAACAAAGAAGAGAAACTTTATGGTCTTTTTCATAACAGCACACTCCCTCTCAAGGGCCATGCTAAGACTGATGAACATAGGTCAAGAGAACTGACTCCCTTCTGTTAGTTTTCTAAGGCTGCTGTAACGAGTTTAAGAAGTTACCATGTAATTGGTGGCTTTAAAACAGCAAAAGTGGATTCGCCCACATTCCTGGAAGTCAGACACATAAAACCAAGGCCGGCCAGGCTGTGCTTCCTCTGAAGGCTCTTGAGAAGCATTCCTTCTTGTATCTCCCACCTCGCTCCCAGACCTGTGGGCCCTGGGAATCCAGTCCCACCTTCTTCTTGGTTTTTCAACTGTATGTGGCCCTCCCTTTCTGACTCTTTTAAAGGTGCTAGTCCATGCCCCAACCAGATAATTCAGGACAATTTCATTTCAGGAGCTTTAACTCTGTTATTCTTGTACAGATCTTTTTGGCATATTGAGAATTCCCAGCAGTTAAGACATGGACATATCTTTAGAAGACCTCCATTTCACTCACTATGTACTCCCATAAGTATTGCTGAACAGCTCCAGCCTCTTCTCCTCCTGTCTAGACTTGACCCTGTGTATTCCCTTTCAATCCTGATCTTCATTTATCTATTAGTTGACTTCAGTCCTCAGCGGCAAATCTACACGCCCTCTCAGACCTAGGCCAAGGCTCTGTGCTAGGTCTAGTCTTCTGTATACTTTTAGACTGAGAAGATAACTCCTTGGAATGTGTTTGGATTACTCACTGCACCGTATTCGTATGTTCTCAGGGATCCTGTACATCAACCCTGCAGACCTGGGGTGGAACCCTCCAGTGAGCAGCTGGATTGACCAGAGGGAACTCCAGACTGAGAGAGCCAACTTGACCATCCTGTTTGACAAATACCTTCCCACCTGCTTGGACACACTCAGAACAAGGTAGGCCAAGAATCAAAAAGGGAACGCGTCAATACAGACATGAAGAACCTGCTGGCTCACAGCTGGTGCCATGCTGATGCTCTGTCCTGTGGCCAAAGTCAGAACCCTCCAGGCACAGCAGTTGGCAGAGAGAGGGGAGCACATAGTAGATGGCCGTATTGTCAGTTCGGACAATAATGGAGGTGAGGGGAGGAGAAAATTTAAAGTACTCTTTGTGAGAGCCACATGGGTATAGCAGGCAGAAGGGGTCAACTGGCCATAATAACAGATAGCAGCCCTGACACTCAGAGCCTTCAGTTTGCAGGGTAAGCAGCTGGCCCTCCAGATGGCCCAGGAGTAAATAATACACTTGTCAAGGACATGTGGGACTGACTGTGTGATCATGTGAGATCCAATGTGATCACTGACCAGTCCTGCCCCAATGGACATCATGAGTTTACTTTTATTCTGCCTCCTATGTTAATCAGCTTTCCATCTTCATAGCAATTACCTGAGATTATCAACTTGTGAAGAAGAAAGGTTTATATTGGCTCATAGTTATGGACTTTCTAGTCCATGATCAGCTAACCCTGTGTTTTTAGGGGTCTGTGGGAACACATGGGAAAGGCATGTAGAAAGAAAAAATACTCATCTCACCTCTAGGAAGTGGGACACAGAGAGAAAGAAAGCAAGGTCCCACAATTCTTTGCAAGAGCATATCCTTAGTGACCTAAAGAGCTCTTACTAGACCTCTCCTCTTAAAGACTCCACTTCCTCCCAATAGCAGAGAAATGGAGGCAAAGCTACTAACATGCTGGCTTTCAGCAGACACTCAAGATCCAAATTATCACACCACCTGTCGCTTAAATAAGCGATCCATTACTCTGAACAAAGAAGACAATTTTTATGGCAAGAATAGTACATGGGTAAGCACACAAAGGTCCCTAGACTTGGAACTTGCTTCTCTCTCATTTACTATTAATTTCTTCATACATGTTTTTTATCTTCCATTTGATGCATTCTCTGAACGCTGGACTCATCACTATATTCTACCAAGAATGATCATCAAAGACAATTTTGATCTGAGATTTATAGTTTCCGAAGATTCTAAAATTTGGGGTCAGTGTTATGATTCTAAGAGCTTAAAATCTACCACTCAAATTAATCCTTAGTTCCTTCTTCACTAGCCTGTCAAACATATCCTGATTTCAGTTGCTCACAGGTGTAGAGACACAGGAGAGGGGGAGTTTGAGCAGCAAGCCAAGTTGCAAGAGCTACAAAGTTACCAAGTTGCGCTCTTACTCTATATGACCTGCCCTGCACTCCTAAAAAATCCCACCACATTAACAAAGTAGTTTACAAAAAGTTGTACAAAGTGTATTTTGTACAACTAGAAATTGAATTGCATTGTACTAATTGAGGCAGTGATCTATTTTAGAACTTAACAAAACATTAATTTTGATACAGTTTTTATATTTCAGTGTTCATTATTTTTCTAACTTCCATAAGCCTTTGCAAAGCCCTCAGAGCCTAGTGACACTGGGCTCTGTGACCTAAGTGTCCTAAGTAGGCAAGCATAGCACTGAGCTAAAAGTATCAGGGCAAGATGAGGAGTTAGCAAGATAGGCTATCCCTGTTCCTTTAGCCTTTGCTGGACCACTTGTCAGGGATGACCTTTGACTAAAAGTCCTTCAGGTAAATAGCCAATAGTTGGGTTGGTTTAGATTTTCTATTACTTTTTTGAGAACCCACATAATGGTTTCCATAATGGTTGACCTAGTTTGCATTCCACTAGCAGTATATTCCCTCTTGTCCATATCCTCAAAAATATTTGTTGTTTCCTTAATGACTGCCATTTTTAAAGTAGTAAGAAGGAACCACAGTGCAGTTTTAACTTACATTTCTCTGATGGCTGGTGAGGTTGGACATTTGTTTATCGACCACTGTACTTGACTTTTTCAGAACTGTCTGTCTATTTTATCAGTCCATTTGTTCATTGGGTTGTTTGATTTTATTTATTTTTTTAGTTCTTTTTGTATTTTAGATATTAATCCTCTGTTAGATCTAAAACTAACAAGGATTTTCTCACATTCTGTAGACTAACTCTTCATTGGATTAACTGGTTGCTGTACAAAAGTCTTTTAATTTCATGAAGATCAATTTATCAATTGTCGTTATTTCCTGAACAACTGGAGCTCTGTCTAGAAAGTCTATAACCTATGCCTTGAATTAGTTTCCCTACATTTTCCTCTATCAGTTTCAAAACTTCAGGTTTTACATCAAGGCCTTTGATCCATTTTACATCAAGGACTTGATTATTTTTCAGGGTGACAAATAAGGATCTAGTTTCATTCTTCTACGTATGGATCTACAGTTTTCCCAATGCTGTTTATAAAAACTGTCTTTTCTCCAATATTTTTGGCATCTTTGTCAAGAGTTTAGTGTCCATAGTGTGTGTGTTTGGGAGGGGTGATCTATGGACCTTCTATTATGCTTCATTGGTCTACATGTCTGCTTTTACCTGTACTATCATATCTTTGTCACTATGGCTCTGTAATATAGTTTGAGGTCAGATAATATGGTGTTTTCAATTGTGTTCTTTCTGCCTATAGATTGCTTTGGCTAACTGTGGTCTTATGTGTTTCCGTATCAATTTAACATTTTTTTCTTCTAGTTCTATGAACAATGTCATTGGAATTTTGATGAGGACTATGCTGACTCTGTAGATTACTTTTAGTAGTATAGTCATTTTCACAATGTTAATTCTTCCCATCCATATGCATGGAAAATATTTTTGTCTTCTAATATCTTTTACAATTTCTTTCATCATGATTTAAATTTTCATTGTGGAGGTCTTTCACTTCTTTGGTTATTTTATTCCAAGGTTTATTTTTTTGAGGCAATAGTGAATGGGATTGTTTCCATGATTACTTTTTCAACCTGTTGCTTATTGGTATTTAGGAAGGCTACTGTATACTAATTTTGTTGGATAAAAGTATTAATCAGATCTAAGAGTTTTCTGGGGGGAGATTTTAGGGTCTCTCATATATAGATCCATATCATCTGCAAATAAGGATACTTTGATTTATTGTAGCAATTTATCCCTTTAATTTATTTATATTGTCATATTACTCTAAGATTCCAAGCACTATATTGAGTCAGAGTGAGGAAAATGAACACCTTTGTCTTATTCCTGATTTTAGTGGAAATGATTTTAGTTTTCCCAATTTATTATGAGGTTGAATATAGGTTTGTCGTATACAATTTTATTATATTGAAAGATATTCCTTTTAGTCCTGATTCTTTCCAGGGCTTTTATTATGAAGTGATGTTAGACTTTGTCAAAAACCTCTTTTGCATTTATTGAAATGACCATGTGATTTCTGTCCTTGACCTGTTATGTGATATATTAAATTCTTTTGTGTATATTGAATCATCTCTGCATTCTGGAATGTAGCCAAATTGATCATAGTGAATGGTCTTTATGATATATTCTTGAATTCTGTTTGTAAATGTTTAGCTGAGAATTTTTGCATCTGTGTTCATCAGGAAAATTGGTTTATAATTGTGTGTGTGTGTGTGTGTGTGTGTGTGTGTGTGTGTGTGTCTTGAGAATTAGGGTAATACTGGTAGTATTCTAAAAATTTATTCATTTCTTTCAGATTTTCCAATTTAGTGAAATGTAAGATTTTAAGGCATAATCTAGCTTTTCAAAAATTTAATTATATGTTATGTTGTCTTATTTTTCATCTCTAATGTTATTGATTTGGGTCTTCTTAACCCTTTCTCTAGTTAATTCACTAAGGTTTTGTCAATCTTGTTTACCTTCTCATCGAATCAACTCTGTTTCATTGATTCTCCATATAATTTTTTCATCTCTTCCATTAATTTCTGTCCTGATCTTAATTCTTTCTTTAAAAAAAATAAATTTTATTGATTCCAATATTTCACACAATGTATTCTGATTACTTTCCAACCCCCCCTTTGGAGCCCCTCTCCACTACCTCCCCTCAAATTTCATATAGTTCATTATTATCTATTACTTTATTCATCTATTTAATTTTGTTTCTTTAAAGACTACCTATTCTATGCAATTTCTTACTATGTGCAAAACATGTATCCTTATATTTACAGACAAATATCCCAGTCACCACTCATCAAAGAACCTTCTTTTGCAACAGATGGAGACTATTACAGAGTTCCACAATGGGTCACATCCAGACATTGTAATTGCTCAAGCCTAAGTGGCACATCTACAGTGCAACCTCTACGCTAAGGAATGTTGTCACATGTTTTATTATTGTGTTTTGTGCATCTATTGGAGTGGATGTGCCCTCCAATTTGTACTCTTCCCCCTTTTCAAAAGTTCTGCTTCTTTGTTTTATTTTATATGATTCTTTCTTGCGGGTTGTCTTCACTTGGATATATTCAGGGGGAGAGTCAACTATAGCAGCAACCGTGATGGCAAGACACCCAGTGTTATGTGCAGGAAAAGATTCTGTGCCTTCCATGTGGTATCCTATAAAGTTTAGAGACAAGAATACTAAGTCCTATTTTGTGAAAATGTAGTATATTTAAATAGTGAAACGAAAGGGCAGTGAGGTAGGGAGTAAGAGGGGATAGAATAAGAATGACAAGAGAAGTTCATGGTGTAGAGGTGTGAAAAGCAGTATATAAAATATTATATATCAGGTTTGGAATAAAAGACATAAGAACATTTTCCAACATGATCCAATACTTTACACCACTGTTAGTTTAACATTTAAAGTACAAAATTTACAGACTAATACAAATTAAAGAAATTAAAATATATTTAGGTATATAAAATAAAAATTAACTTAAAATACATAAACACATATGAGCAAGAAAATTAAATAGAAGATGTTATGTTCTCAGTCAGTGCCTCTTCCAGGTTGGGGGACACCCTCTCCCCTCACCTTGTTGCTACATATCATGACACAGTACCATGTTCCAGCACAGACTTCCAGTGATCTGTGTAACTCCTCCCTGCTATAACCTGG